CGTCCATTTTCTGATCTGTTCATCCTCACAAGGGTCTCCGGGCATGCTGGTGCCTATTCCAGCTTACTTCAGGCAGTAGGCGGGGACACCCTGAACTGGTTGCCAGCCAATCGCAGGGCACACATAGACAAACAACCATCCGTGCTCACACTCACACCTAGGGCAAATTTAGAGTGTTCCATGAACCTGCCACGCATGTTTTTGTAATGTGGGATGAAACCGGAGAACCTGGAGAAAACCCACACAGACATGCAAACTCTACACAGGAAGGCCGGAGCGGATTCGAACCCTGCACTGTGAGGCCAACACGCTAACTCGTCAAACACCGGGCCACACTTCAAAGCAACAGCTCTGCCCAATTCAAGAAAACAATTGGTTCTTGAGGAGCCACACCCCATACCGCCCCTACAGAAGAAACACGGGATGCCTGACAAGCATATTCAGGAAAGAGGCGCACTAAGAAAGAAAAAATAAGATAAGAAAACCATTATTTTTCTCACAATGGAGAAATTCACTAAGTCGTTACCTTGGCCGAGGCGCCAGCCTCCCCAGCTTTAGCTCCACTGCTCTGAAATGTTTCCACCTTTGTGCAGTCGCCTGCACATACGTGCCCGATGAAATAGCGCTCTGAGCAGCCTCCCCTCCCTGGCTGGCGCCTCGCTCTTTCGATTCCGTAAACACAAAGCCACTTTCTCTGAGTAGATAGCACAACACCCGACAAGCATATCTGTGAACAAGGTGCTATGAGCGGCAACCTCAGCTGGGGCGCCTGCCTTCCTGCCGATACACTATTCAGCAGCTGTTCTATGATCTGTGATCGTCATTTCTTAGAGGACTGCTTCATGCACCTTGGTCATTGTAAAAGTGTATCAACCGGGAGATTATACCTTAAAACTCACGAAATTACCACAAACCTGCAGGAGAGCTATAAGTAACCACGAGCTAAATTATGACAAAATCTTTGCATTAATGCATTAACCTTAGTTTTGTTGTCAAGCCCGATATGTCAGACGTATTTTGTTTCATAAAAAAAAAAAAACTTACTTGTTCGACACATTACCATGTGCATGGATGAAGAGTACTGCTTATTTACCTCAATCAACTGTAAATTAATTTATTACCATTATGGAGTGTTTCTATTAATATAGATCGAAATGGTCGAAATTTTTATATGTATATATACAATATTTGCATATTCGCTCTGCCATGCATGTGACAGAGTTTCACAAGCGCAGTCCTTTTGAGTTCAGACAAGATAGATCAGATGTCAGATGGGAATAAGTAGTATCGATAACGGATGCTTAACTGTTGTTAAATGGGAGCTAGGTTTGTCTTATGGAAACAGCTTGAGTACAGTAATCCCTTGTTTATCGCGGTTAATGGGGACCAGAACCACCCGCGATAAACGAAAATCCGCGAAGTAGCGACCCCCCGCATAGGTACATGTACATGTGTATGAGTATAAAAAATAGTTATCAGGCCAAATTTAATGGTATTCATGCATGTAGAAGTAAATTTTGTTGTAATTAACATGACTTAATGCTGTATACTAACAGATTTAAACATGTATAAGTAAGGTTAGGTTAGTGTATGAATAACAAAATACAGTAAACCTAAACATGTAGTACTGTATATGATGCTCTATGTGACTCGCTGCTGTTTTGCTGACTTTCACTGCTTCTCGCAGACCGTTTGCGGACTTTTTGCGGACTTAATTTTTTCGTTTTTTTTTTTTTTTATTGTTTGTTTGTTTTTTATGAATATTTTTTAAAAAATCCGCGTTGCACTGAAGCCGCGATAAACGAACCGCAAAATAGCGAGGGATCACGGTCGTGATAATCTTTTATATCATTGCTTTCCTGTGAAAAACGCATATGTCCATTTTTGTCATTTTAAAAATGTTTACCTTAATGGGATGTCCAAAACGTGGACACTCTAATCACGTAATTTAAATTATTTATTTATTTTTTTAAATGACAAAAATGAACATTTGTGTTTTTCACAGAACAGCAATGATATATTAAATGAAACTGTGTATTTAAAATGTAGAGGTGTCAATTGATCGCCTTAATTGCGAATAATTAATTGTTTTTTTTAATCATGTTAATGAAATTTTAATCTCTAACTTTATTGTTTCTGTAGGTGGGTTGCCTTTTTATCATATCCCTTTTCATATGTTGGCTTCCTGTGTTCGAGTAGTTGAGGGTGGGGAAACAACTGTCAGTCACAGCCAGAAGCGGACATTGATTGGCTGTCATTATGTTTGGGCTTGTTTAGAATAAGGTGATTAGAGTTGGGCGGGCTAATTAAGCAGCGGTGAGGAGAGAAGCGGTGAAAATGAAGGAGCATGTGAGATTTCTCAGCACAATGAATGGAAAATAAAAATTTCAAAACCGTCCTGACGGCACTATTGATAAAAGTATAGTGTTGTGCCTAATTTGTAAGAAGGAGTTTGCTGACCACCGAAGCAGCTCAAATTTAGCCGCCCACACTAATGCAAAGCACCCAGTCGCGAGTGCTAACGTTAGCACCGAAAGCATTAGTATATAGCAAGCTAAAGCAAAGCTCTTCGCCAAACTAAACTCGAGGAGAACACTCCGTGTACGAGGTATGAAGTCAGCATAGTTGCTGTGTCCTCAGTAGCCTACCAGAAGTGGTTGATGTTTATTTCAGCACTTTATTTTCTCATGATGAACAGTGTTATTTCTGAAGTGCTAATTTACAGCACTGTGATTTAAGGGTCTCTTATTTATTTTTTACTATCCGAAGCAAGTTCAGTGTGAGTACTTGTATTGCTCAGAAAAAAAAAATCTTACTGTTTTTGATATGTTAACTGAAGCACTTTTTATAGACCTGATGTTCTATTGTTATTTTTATTTTGTAATTATTTGGAGCTTCACAAAAACAAACAAAACGGTGATATTCACCCTGGTGGTCGAAACTAAAGGTTGCAGGTAGGACTTGGGACTAGTCTCAACTACAGCCGAATAAAAGTCCGAATAGTCAGTGACAGCCAATCGGCGCTGCTTCGACTTCAACATGCCAGTCCATCAAACCCCCAAAAGAACGTAGAAGAAAGTGAAATCGCCAACCTCGGGTCGAGGAGATGCCAGGTAACATTCACTTGGTGCCCCAGCCACTTGGGAATCGTCGGCAACGAGTTTGCTGATGAAACAGCGAAAGAAGGAGCCAAGAAGGACCAGACTGGCATTGGTTGCTTCTACGATTCGGCCCAAGCGGCGATCCGGAGAGTGACACAAGGTGGTCAGATCCTGCACCAGCGACTTAAAAAGATGTACAGATGTCGAGGGGAGAAGCTGAATCGCAGAGCCGAATAGAACCTCTCCCGAAAATAACATGACTTTGAACCGGCTACGCAGTGGTCATCACCCGGAGCTGAAATATTGGCTTGCCAAGATAAACCGGGCTGATGATACAGTCTGTAGGAAATGCGGACTCGGAGAGGAGACAACCGAGCACGTCATATATGACTGCCCACGTATCCATCATTCCCCCGCCGAACCTCCACCCTGAGACATCCTCACTGCTGACCCGACACGAGCTCTGACCATCTGGGAGAAGTGGAAGTTGGCGCGCGACCTCTCGGTCGTCAATAATCCGAAAAACCTCCGATGCTCAACAACAACAACAACTACAGCAGCAAGTGTATGGCAAGGACTGCATCTGTTCAAGTCTGTTTACAAACAATGAAAGACTCTTTAATGCCGCTTTTTTTTTTTGTCTTTTGATCTGCCTCAATAATGTAATGAATTAAAAATAAAAATAGGGGTTTTCTCAGCACTTTTTCGATTAAATTAAAATATAGATTAATTAGATCAATTAATTACAGATCATAATTAATTAATCTCCGTTTTTTTAATCGCACATATTAAAATATTTATATATATTGTATTTTAAATTACGCATCTCATGACAATATTACAATTTCTGCATACAGCCAGTAGAAACCAAAACAAAACCTGGTATTGTAATGTTTCTGTTAAATTGTAAATATTAGCCTACCTGTCCAAGTTTCGGCATAGCCAAACTTGACACATTGCTGAATATCACCGTTAAAGGTAAATGGGAATATTTTTTTATTTCCACATTCTTTATTCTATGAACATTATATACAATTGTAAAATATTTACCAGCTGAATTATGCAGATCATATTAAATGTGGACCACTTAATGATATGATTTTTATTTAAAGGTGTGAATAACACTATACGTAGTTGTTTTGTGATATTTCCATTGAAGTGAATTGAAGCAGTACAGCACAGCAGGTAGCCCACAACTATGGCGACGTGCGCCGTTCAATACACTCCTACTCGGGATTCAAAACTGCGCCTCCACCACATCACAAGCAGGGAGTCTAGAGCTCTGAGAACTGAGCTAAAAACCCGAGCTGCTTCAGCACCCACTTTTGAAAGTTGATTGGAGTGAGGTTTTAGTAACAGCGCAATCTGGCATCGCTTACACTAAACCCCTGAAAACTAAACTCCAAATCTTGGACAAGGCACCACTGTAATGGTGGCATTCCTGCGCTATCCATGCCACACCAACTCAGGCTTCAAACCCACCCACCACCCCATCACCGGCTCATAAGTAGAAGGCACTCACCACCGGGCTAAAACGCTGGGCCAGCACCCTCTTTTGAAGGCTCTGAAAGGGGAGGTTAATGTACACTTGCGCACTGCACGCTGGTATCCATTGCACACATCTATATATTGAATTGACTCAAAAAATGATGAGGGTCCTACTAGGGAAATATCTCATTGCTACTTTACAGGAACATAATTTGGCATTAAGGTAAAAACATTTTCACTGTAAGATAAAGATGCAAAGCATTAATGTCTTCATTCAATTATGGAGTAATCACCATTCAAAAAGTTACATTACTTTAATGACACACACAATTGCACTGGCAAGTGCGCTGGTTAAAAAAACACTGAGAAAAGCGAATATTCCCTGAATCATTAGGAAAAAAAATCACGTACCTCCGTGTTTCCAAAGGTCTCCTTTGTCCTTCACTGGTAGAAATAAAAAGCTGACAACCACACTTAAGATTGTCTTTGAGCGCGTCCAAAACTATGAGAAGCATGGTTCTGTCAGACTGCCCCCGCAAATCTGAAGACGTAGATGGTAGATTCCAACTTAAGACTGAAACTTGGGCAAAACACCTGATACAAAAAGCTGAATTATAAATTATAAGGAAGTTTGAGACAGCTGTTTCAAATGTTTCAGAGCCAAAGGAGAATGAGGTTCCCAAAGGAGTGAGCCAAGCACCCAGACTGTCATTTTGACGTGGCAGAACGCAGAGGCTTGGGAGGAGGTAAACACCACTGAGGAGCAAAGGTACACAGAGGCTGCCTGGTTCAACTTGAAAGAGCGATCTGTTTCTACATGCTCCAGACCAGACGTTTATCGAAGTGTGTGTGCGTGTGTGTGTGTGTGTGTGTGTGTGTGTGTGTGTGTGTGTGTGTGTGTGTAAAAAATATCATCCTACCATTGCTTGTAAAAAAGTCACTAATCAGTCAATGGACCATTCACCTTAAATTTCTGAACGTAAGGTGGAGCACAAATATGTGTTTTAGAGTGTGTCATTGGTCCTCTTCCCCTCTAAAGGTGTATGTGGCAAGTTTCTGCATGCCATAAAACTCTGTACGAGTCCACACAAAGCCTTCTGGTAATGCAAAACAGGAACAGAATTCCATTCTCTAGTTCGCTGTTTAGTAAACACTGCTGACTGAAAAAAGTAAAGTCTAATGTACAAATTTAAATTACAAATTTCCACACGTAGGTCATAGAGATGACAGATTTGAAGAACTTTCTTGTTCCTACTTTGCTGTTGTGGCTGTCTTAGAGGAGGTTGTGCCGCTCATCCAAGCAGACTTCATCTGGGTGAGATAAGACAGCTTTTGCGTCAGTGTTGGTGTGGAAACCCAACTATGTATCCCCTAGGTTACACAGCCCACAAATGGTCTCACTTTTTTGGGATGTAAAAGCGACAGTCAATGAAAGGCACCAACAACAGTCGTTTGGGAGGAATCCCCCATGTTAAGACATTTTGTGTATTAGCGTGTGTGAGTGAGTGAGTGTGTGTGTGTGTGTGTGTGTGTGTGTGTGTGTGTGTGTGTGTGTGTGTGTGTGTGTGTGTGTGTGTGCGCGTGTGCGTGAGTGTGAGTGTGAGAGCCCATACAGTCACGTTGTAGTGCTGGAATCTCAAAGTTGCTATCTGTCACTGGATATTCATCTCATAAGGTGTTGTCGATAGGTGCCTGTGTGTGGTTTGTTTGGTTTGGGATGTGTGTGTGTGTGTGTGTGTGTGTGTGTGCGTGCGTGTGTGTGTGTGTGTGTGTGTGTGTGCGTGTGTGTGTGTGTGTGTGTGTGTGCGTGCGTGCGTACATACATAGGTATGACTGATTTGTGGTTTGTGTGTGTGTTTTTAAATTGTGAAACACATTTTAAACAGTAGTCAGGATCACATTTGCTCTTGATCATTCAGGTTGAGAAGAAGACAATCAGACAAAAATAATTCTTTGAGATGCACACATAATGAAAGGGAGAACAGGAAATGTGCATAGTGGTAACTGATTTCACAAAACAGACTTCTTGTCAAGTTTATTGGATTCGTCATGGTGGAGTGGAGGCAAAAAAAAGCTAAGGTGCCCCAATGTAGAAAGAAGTTGAGGTGCACTGGAGAATCTAAAAAATAAATACCGTAAATAAATAAAGAAGTAAATGTTGCACAGATCCTGTGCAACATTGAACAATGAATTGAGACAGACTGGGGAAAGAATGAGGTACAAGACAGAGTGGCGACCAGATGGAGACAATGGCATGATGGGCAAATATGGGACACCCTGACATGAACAAAAAACACATATCATCCATCCATCAATTATCTGAATCGCTGATCCTCACAGGGGTCGTGGGCCATCCCAGCCGCCTTCGGGCACTAGGCGGACTATATCGTGAAATGGTTTCCAGCCATTCGCAGGGCACATATAGACAAACAGCTATTCGCGCTTACAATCACATCGAGGGACAATTTAAAGTGTTCAATTAACCTAACATGCATATTTTTGGAACGTGGGAGGAAATCGGAGTACCTGGAGAAAACCCACGCAGAAGCAGAACATGCAAACTCCACGAAAAAGGCTGGAGCCTGGATTCGAACCCATGACCTCTGCACCATGAGGCAGATGTGCTCACGAGTAGTCCACCCTGCCAACCAAAAACATACATAATGTATGATAAAATATCCAAATAAAGGTCCGACAGAAGCAGACATCAGGAATATCTGGAAAAAAACCCCAGACTCGTATGAGACCACTGCGTTGGTCTGAATCTGAAATTTCCAATTTCAAATCAGTGCTGCAAAAAAGGGTTCATAGTTCAAGGAAATCTAACCTTAAGACACCTAACAGTTGGAATCAAAAAACACAAGGGAAGACTGGAGGACACTGTTGTGAGGGCCAGAGAGGAAAGGGCATGAGGCCTGAGTTGCTGAAGGCTGGTTTGGTTGGCAGGCTGATGGCAATGGCAAGCAGAGTCACCGCTTACAGGTAGAGGCTGTGTGCTTCCCAATGGATCTGTGGTTGCTCAGTTCATTCTGTCAGAGGAAGTTTGGTGTCGTAGGTTGGAGGGGGCAAGTCTTGTCAAGGCAGGAGTGAAAGGTGACTACAAAAAAAACTAAAACAAATGTAAAGGATAGTGGGGTCAAAAATAGTGAACAAAGAAACACATGAGGGTGAGACTCACCACCATAGATGACGGCTGACACTGGACAATGAATCATGAGAGTGAGCAGAAACCTAAATAAATGTAAACAGACTGATGAAACAAGGCACGCAGGTACAAGACAGTGAGGAGGGGCTGCATGGCGTTTTCAAGTTGGCGCTGATGTGGTAATATTCTTGTTCACGTTGACTTATCACAGATAACTTCATTGATATTTTTCAGTACAGTACAGTGTATACTTTTTTGAAGTCATAGCTTTAGGAAGGGTGGCACGTTGGTCGACTGGTGAACACGTTGGAGCACTGGAGTCAAGTATCAAGTACAACTTTATTGTCAAATGTGCTGTACGTGTAACATAAAGCACAGATTAAATTTCCTCCCTCTTAAACAGACAACACACAACAAGAGGAGCCGCTGCAGGTGCCCACGCCACCATTAAAAGAAGAGTTCACATAAAATGACAAAATAATACAAGACGGAGGACATTCTTCCCCATGCCTGCATGGGTTTTCTCTGGGTTTCCTCCCACATTCCCCAAAACATGCACTCCAAATTCTTCTTTCAGCAAAAATTCTTAAATGTTTTCTAGATTGATATAGTCCAGTGGTGGGCTTCTAGGTGTTAGCATCGCAACACAAATCATGGCAGTGAATATGTTGTTCACTTTTACCGGGCCACTGACTTCTTTTCAGGGCCATTGCTTGCACTGATCTAAGCTGTGATGTTCAAAGCTCGACGTACGGACATAAAAAATATATTGATCTTGTTGTCTTTCTATGAAAATGATATCGCAAGGGATAACTTCAGAATCGTCTGAGTATTCCTTTCATGCACAAGGCTGGAAGGCAGTGTCGCAGGACAGTTGAAATGGTGACAAATTTGAATTAACATTTCACAACAATTTGCTGTTGGAATATAATGTTTTTGCTTTGTATTTTTTAAAATCACAAGATTGTGACACTGATGACACCAGGGCAGAAGTATCTGTCGGGGTGCTGACTGTTGTCAGTGAGGATAAGCAACTTGTTTCACATCAGCTCCACCTCCAACCAAATATCCACTGTCATCATTGTTAAGGGAAGTATTGTCATGGATGATGTCCAGAACCTGCCCGAGGCACTTTGCCTTTTGTTTGGATTGTCATACAGTATTGTAATATTTTTTAGTATTATTATTTTCAGGCCTGAGGATTTCAGAATTTCACAGAAACCGTTTTTTTCGGTTCCGTTGGATTACCCAATGAGAAACCACGGTAACTAATTTTGGGTTCCGTAAAAACGTTCATCATGGGAACCCATTTTTCTGTTTTTAACTGATATTCCTAATCATGAATTCTGATAGTCCAAAGTATAATATTTCAAGGGTAAAAGTTTGAAAACCATGCATTAACAATGAACATTCCATCAGCAGCTGCGTACTACAGCTTTATTCAATCAAATAAGTGGATAAAAATATGTTAACACTTTTAGTGTACTCATATGGCATCATGAATACAGCATACCACAAAATCAGAGTATTTTTTCCAGTCTCACACTGCAAAGATTGACTTACTGGTAATCATTCCCTTACGAAAGGAAAATATATTTTCCAATATATTAACTGCAATATATTTTAATACATTGTCAATACATATATTTTACAATATATTCAGAGATGAAAGTGGAGGACTTTTCTGAAAATTCCGGAAAAATAAATAAATAAAAAATATATATA